AGAAAAATTACTATCAGTTTGAATTAACATAAATAAATATGTACTTTGTAAGACAGCCAAAATTTTAAGGAATTTTCCTTAACTGAGATGTTTATATTCATCTCCATTAATCATAATTTTCTTCTGTACAAAAGTATGTTTTCTAAGTACTAAAAAAGAAAATAAATAAACCTTTGTGCTTTCTAATACACATAACAATCAAATGCAAGTGAATATAAGAAATTATTCACAAAGAGTTGTCAGTACCTGGAATTAGTCAATAATTGGAATTGGACTTGGAATTATAAGGAATTAGTCCTCTTCAAATGTGACAAAGAACATTTGTCCTTTAAAGCCTTGCGCTGATAATGTACAATAACTTGTGTATTTTGTCTCTACTTTTATGGGTAAATTTTTGTCAATGATTCTTAGCTCTCCATCTGGCTTCTTTGCTATAATCTTTCCTGCTTTTATCTAGAGCCCCCAAAGACAAGGAAAAATGTAATCTATTCAGTCATTCCATATTGTAATTCCCACAAAGTTTTCACAATTTGGAAGAAATCTTCCACCTGTTTATAAGGTCTTACTTCAATGGAAAATACAATTTTTGTATTTTCATTGTAGGAGAGCACAAAATCTAAGTTGAAATTAATAATTTCCACTTTAGAGTAGTATACTTACACATCAAAACTAAAGCCAACATAAGACATTTCATCTTAAAAGTACCTGGTAATTCTTTAAAGAAAGGTTTTAACAATTAAGGGGTCATAAACCTGATCACTGTATTCTATAAATGACTAACTTTTAAAAGAAGAAAGAATAGTCAAACATTTGTAGGTCCAACAGCATATTCATAATAGCAAAAGGTAAAAGTCACCTCGGGGTCCACAGATGGCTAAGTGAATAAGCAAAATCTCTTAATCTCAATTTGTCTCTCCCTCTCCCCTCCTCTCACACTACCCCATGGGTATTATGTAGCCTTTAAAATGGAAAGAAACTGGCATATAACACCATAGGGATGAACCTTGAAGACATTATGCTAAGTGAAATAAGTCTGTCCTGTAATGACCAATAGGGACTTGTGGTATCCTAATTCATAGAGACAACAAGTAGAATACTGTCTGCCAGGGGCTAGGAAAGGTGAACAGGGTATTCTTTATTTAATAGGTACGGAGATTCAGTTGTAGAAGATGAAGAAGTTCTGGAGATGGATGATGGTGATAACTGTATAGCAGTGTGATGTGCTCAAGGCCACAGAACCATACACTTAAAATGTCTAAAATAGCAGAGTAACATTCTGCAAACTAAAATTAAGTCTATCTAATCACAGATGAAAAAAAAGGAATAACTTAATAACCTAATATTCCTAAAAGACACTTGAGCCTACAGAGTATTTAATTCTACTATTTTTTTGTTTTATTTTTTAAAGTCTCAGCCTCCTAAGTTCATTTATTTCAATTTATTCATTTTGTGTGTTAATGGATTTTATGAAGGGAAAACTATAAGAATCACCAATTGTTATATTCATAAAACTTGTATTCATTATCTTGTTAAACAATATTAATCCATATCAACTTTATTGTGACTAGTCTATGCTAGGCTTAATTATATTGCCATCTATAGATTTTTTTTTTTTTCAGAACCAGGGATTGAACTCAAGCCCTTGCGCTTGCCAGGGAAGTACTTATTCCACTGAGCCATCTCCCTGGCCCCTATACATTGTTTTGAAATTTAACAAATGTCCTAAAATTTCAATCTTAAATCCTAAATAGAATTTTTTTTAAATGTATTTAGTACGGGGTCTATAGGGTCTCAGTACACAGATGGAACTTTTAGTGATCCTTCTTGTTTTTCAGCCTCCCAAGTGCTGGGATTACAGGCACACACCACCATGCCCAGTCTCAATCTCCATCTCAGTGCGCCCCATGGGTGGGGCTGGCAGGGCACACCAGGGATTGAACCCGGAGCCCGTATATCTGCCTAAGCAGGTGACTTAATCTGCTGAGCTATCTGGCTGGCCCTCCAAAATAGAACTTTTGAAGAGTTGTTAGTCCATGCTCATAAAATTTATACTAATCCTCTTTCAAACTTACTATTTTCATGATAAGGCTATAAAACACAGATTATAATTTTTTTCTATTTTGTCTTATTATTTATAAGGTCTTACCACAATCTAAAATAACTCAACATTTCAATTAGGGAGAACATACATACAACTTGACAGTGATATGATACATGGCAGTTAACAACATGAAATTTGTAGTCACAAGGTCCAGGATTAAATCCTGGTTCTATCACTTACTAGAGATGAGTGGATAACTTATTTAATATCTTTAATCTTAGTTTCTTCATTTTACAAATGTATACACCTAAATGTTACTGTGAAAACTACATGCATAAAATTTCTCATTAATATATGACATAAAATAAATTCTCTAATACCAGCTTTTAAAAAGTCATAGCAACATCGAACCTGTAGAAATAAACCCAATATTGAATTGAAAAACTTTATACTGACATGTCGTAAAATGAATCCATAGTTTGTACCACTTATCTATAAGAGAAATACAAGTTATATTTTGAATCACTCATTTTCATTTGTTCATCTCTTTTTTTCTGTATTTAGGACAGGGTCTACAGTGTCTACAGGGTCTCACTATGTAGATTGGACTCATGGTGATTCTCCTATTTTCAGCCTCCCAAGCGCATGCAACACCATGCCCAGTCTCTTCCTTTGTTTATTTTTTGACATTTAATATGCCTTTAAAAAATTAAACCAAACAAAAATGAAGAATAAGGCAAAATATGTGTATAAATATGTGTGCAGGGGCCAGGGAGATAGCTCAGTAGAATAAGTGCCTGCCTGGCAAGTGCAAGGTCCTGAGTTCAATCCCCAGTTCTGAAAAAAAAATGTGGGTACATACACATTGCTCTTTAATGCGCAGTTGTAAAGTAGGAAAAGCCACAGACAATGAGGATAACAAAGTATACAAATATAGGAAAATTTCTGAGTCTGAATATTTGAACAGTTCACTCAGATTTCATTATTAATTAAAAAAAACACTGTAATTTTTTGATAGTTGAGTTACCCTTGGGGATAAATCCAGAGGTCCAGAAATGCTGGATAGTCTCATTACTTCTACTACTAGTATTAAAGATTTCTAAAGTATATGTTATTTGATAATGAGTTATCATCACTGTTTCCTTACGAAGCACAAACTGTTTCTACAGTAGCAAATATATGCATTTTTACTACACAAATATAAAGTAAACTTGAAACTTAATAACAGACTTGGTTTCCTAAAAATGTATTCCTAGGAACACTTATGACATAAGACTTTGGAGTGACAAAAAAAAGAGGGAACTGTAGTAAATCTGATGTCAGGAAAACACGGCCTTCTGCATCTACAGTACTAGTGATTCCCAACACTATTAACATAAAAGGTTGCCAGAAATTCTACAATGAACAGAGCTGTTCACATATTTTAATCAGTATTTGAAAAGTAAGTTACTCATCCACAGAATTCTTATTTCAGGAAAGGCTACGGAACCAGTGCTCATCACAGAATTCTTTTTCTGGGAAATATACAATAAATTGCCTACCATTATTTATTAGATGAGTAACTTCATATTTATCTGTCCCAAGAAGACAGTCAATGGCAAAATTAGCTAAAGTTTCAAAATGAGCCCACTGTATTCCATGTTTAAAAAAATCTAACATACCTAGGCTAGCATTTGTACTTTCTTTGAAAAGCTGTGCTTATTTCCAGGATATGCATTTACAGTGCTCACAGCCTGTATGTTATTTAATCAATTCCATTTCTAATACCTGAGAAAACCTAAAAATGAATGTTACCCATCTAAAACACTGCTTTTTACTCTGGACTTCACCACAGCATGAGAAAAACTTGCAACTGTAAGCTACTACACACCTTCAAATGTGAAGTTACTTAATTCAATTACAATATTTTATTAACTGGTGCCATAAGCCTACTTTTATGCAATTTTACAGTTAAATAATGAATATTTCACAACATTAATCCTGCAGCAAAGTGGTGATTATTTCATTCTCCTAACATTCCCCTAACAGCCCTATTAAGTATTTAGAACAAAAATACTATAATTACTTCTCTATGGAAGTTAAAATTTGCCCCAAGTACCAATAGTCAGGAAAGACCAATTTCTTATTGGGTGGACACTGCACATATTACTACTACTGAAGCGGTGTCAGATAATCACATTAAAATATGAACAAAAACAGGAAATTCCTGTACTAACAGCTTACTATTTAAGACATTTTTGTTTTTTAGTAATTCCACAGTGTTATATTGCATAACGTTTAAGACATTTTTTTGGGTGAAATAATTTTCAAACACAATTTGCTAGAAAGCTGAACTTGAACAAAATTCTGATGGTACGCTTGACAGTCTGAGTTCACAATTAAAAACAAAGCCTTAACAAGTGTAATGAGGTACTCATTACTTCGTGCTTAAGTTAGATGAAACAAAATAAGAACTACCATTAATTTGGGCTAAAATGTGAACGTGAATGATTAGGCTGCCAGGTTGTGACATCACTTTCTTCCTAGGTTTTCTTTTCAATTTCAAAAATATGTTTTAAAAACCTGTAACAAAATGTGTAAGATGAAAGAGACATAAACTATTCCTAAAAGGTCTGAAAGGGAGGAAATAATGATGGCTATCAAGGAAATACCATATTTTCATAACCCCTGGACATTTGGTCATTGATTTTCAAGTAATACAGAATAACCTGGCCATTAGAAGAAAGAAATACTCTAAAACATCTATTGCAAAATACATATATCCACAGTGTTTTATAATGACATATTAATAACATTTAATGAGAGATAAAATAATTAGTCAAAGAGGAGAAAACCCTGACATGAAAGGAGGCAAGAATTGTGACAATTCAGTAAAGGAAAAGGAGTTAAAATGTCAGGCTCAAGTTTTGCAATCTTTTTCTTTAATGTAGAAGCAGAGGTAACAAAAATTGGTCTTCACCTGGTAAGTGTGTACTCCCTGAGTCCTGAATGCAAATTCATGGCAGAAAAAGTACCTATGCATCCACGCAATCTTTTGTCTCGACCAATCTTCCATGTTACAAACAGTGGGCTGTAATGGAAGATAAAAACAGAGAAAATCAATTAATTCATGTCAAGCAAGTACATTTACTGAGTATTTACTGTACATGAGATTAGGTACCTGATACATAAAGACCAAAAGACAAGCCCTCTAGGGGTTTAAGGTCTAGTTCTATAGGATACCATTTAGCAAAATTTGTATGTTGTATTGAGTATGTCCTATATGTAAAGGACTACAACAAATGCCTTGACAAATTATTTGTTAAAATTTATTAATAAATTTAGGATGTTGATCCAACATTCTTATTTACAAATTAAGTAATTCTATAATTCATGCATAATGAAATAGGTACTCAAATCTGGGCAATGTTGCCTTGCCTATAGAGCCTTAATCATCATGAATTACTTCTGGATTTGTCACTTAAACTACAATTTTCTAATGGATTCATAAGTCTAATTTAGAAAATTTAGGGGAGTCGACAAATTCAATAAATACTTGCTAAAAATACAAGGGCTAGATATATACTTGTGAAAGGTGCTATGAAAAATACACGGAGGCCCACAAGGCAGTCAGTGCTTTCTAGGGGTTCCAGGAGAGAAGGCAGACTGTTCACAGCTAACTGGCACAAAAGAAAAGGAAATATAAATGTTAAACCATGTTGAAAATGTCATAAATGCGCTACAGGGATAAAATAAACTTTCATCAAGCTTGATAATCTTCAGTTTGGTATATAAATATTGGTAGGATTCACAGAGATGAAGTGAAATAGCAAACATTAACAAAGTAATATTTTGAAACCAGAATATTTAACTTAATATTTATGTAAAAGCTCTGCCTACAAGTATAATCTCTTAAGCATCAAAGAGTAAAGTATCAATTATAATAAAATGGCAGCAAGAATATTGTGTTTTTTCTTTTTTTTTTAAATGGGGCTTCACAATTTAATTCAGGCAGGCTTGAATTCACAGTATAGCCCAGGCTAGCTTGAAACAAGGTGATCTTTCTATCTCTGCATATCAGAAGCCAGACTTTCAGGTGTATAGCCATTAGCCTGGTAATAACACTGTGGTTATTTAACTATAGAATGGAAGATCACTACAGTTAAGACTTGTATTGAACTGCCCATCTCAGCCTCCCTGGCACTGTGATTACAGGCATGTACCACCATGTCTGGTTTTGGGGCCTGCACAGTATGCACGGGGTTCTGGAACCAGCACAGCATACAGTACTGAGGATCAAACTCAGGTCCTTGCACTTGCCAGGCAGGCACTTAGACCAGTGAGAGATCTCCCCAGCCAATACTGTGGTTTTAAATGAAGCTTAATACAGTAGATACCTTGGACTCTGCAGCAAATCAATGACAGCCACAATTAATGGTTAAGTCCAAAAAGATCTGTTCTAATTAAAAACAACTGTACACGTCAGTCTTTATGAATTAAATTAATATATACATCTTAGGTCATTTTGTGTAAAGACAAATAAACTAAAGTTCAGCCTATATTAATTCGAGTATAATACTGATATACTATAATACATTTCTGCTTTCTATGTATTTGAATTTTAGGGTGAAATACCATATGTCATATATTTCTTATATTACACTCACTGGTGTGTTAAAGAACATTCTTTCATTAACATACTCTCTAGTCATTCATTAGCAGTTGCATGAAAAGATATTTCATTCAAGCACATCAATCACCCACCTCAGACATTTAAATTATGCCAAGTACTGACAGAGACAATGGCAAATACGTTTGCAAATGAATCTTGTACACAAACCAGAAAGTAATACTAAACCTTACTTTCTTCCAAGAGTCAAATGTTCAGGATTGTGGAAAAGGTAAGTATAAGATCAGAGTTAGCATGGGGAGGATGACGTGGGCTGATTAAAGTATTCACACATATATGTGCACATATATTTCTGCCCAAATGAACCTTATTGATCTGTATAACCAGCACAGACTAATAAAAACGAGGGAGAAAATTGGCATTCAGGCCCTTGGTAACCTGCACTAAAGGTATGTTATGGCTTATGTCTAGATGCCTCCTCAAAGCCTCACATGGTCACAGATAAGACTTTTCACAAGCTGGCTCTAGAGTAGGTGAAGCTACAATCAAGGGTGTGTGGTCACTAAATTAGTCCACTGATCTATTTGGCATAGTTCTGGGGGTAGACAATGGGAAGGGCCTCATTGGGTATGAGTGCTACCTGCCTGAACATTACATAAGGGACAAAAAGAGGGCAGATTTGGTCACTTGTTGTTTGCTGCTTGCTGCTTTGATATTTTGCTGCCCGCTGCCCACCATGAACTATTTCTCCTCTGTGATGTCCCTCTACCATGCCACCCTGCTTGGAGCCAGTCAATTATAAACAAAAAGCTCTATAAACTGTAAGCTTCCATAAAGCTTTCCTCCTTTAGCCTTGAGTGTCAGGTATTTTGTCAACCAGAAAAGTAACTAAGACAAGGTACTAAATTAAAAAGCAAAAGGTAAAGGTCAGTTTTTCTGCTATTTTGTATGTATTTAGTAAGTATCTTACAACTTGAGTCAAGATGCTCTATGGGAGCTCCATGGAAAATTTTCTCTAATTGCTTAACTAGCAGTTGACTAAAAAACAAGAATTAAATGGGATTACTTCCCAGCCAATTCTTTCATTACTCATACAATTAGTTTCCTAAGTTTACATATTATCTTTAACGATGAATTTCACTTCTTCGTTTTTCACAGTCTGCTGTGGCAGAGTTGATGTCAGCAACCAGTTTTATGAACATTAAGATAACAATCCTCTCCTATCACAATCCCTATACGGTATCTCCATGTAAGCAAATACTTGGGCAACTACAGCATCTACAAAATAAAGTTGATCACAAATATAAAATATATAATCTGTATATTGCATATATAAAATATTTCTTTAAAATACCATGGTAGCTTAACACAGAACTGTCACACTTTCTCTTCCTAAGTGACCTGCATGAGAAACCCAAAATGTGAATTTATTTCCTATCAAAAACACTAGAAATGAAGGTAATTTCAAAGTAGTTTGCCTTCAATTCTCTTATTTATGCTGCTAAAATACACATATGAGAAGTTTTTGCACGTCAAAAGAAATTACCAACAAAGTGAAAAGACAACACACAAATTTGGAAAAAATCTTAATAAAATACATATACCAGCACACATATACTTCTTAGTAATACAACTTTATTTGCTCAAATAAATATTCTAAATATAAAAAGATTCACAGAGAAATATACAAACTGAACACTATAGTATGGATATGTGGGAGGGAATTCAAAGACACGGTGGGGGAAAATTACCTACTGTTTCTTATGAAGCTCTGCTATCACTGATGAGAGAATGATTACTTCAGGGGCTAGGGTGATAGAAGATAAAGGCACATTTGTGCAAGACATCCTCCAGAGCACAGGCACTTCCAAATAAGGAAGAGTATGGAGATGTAAAAGTATATAGCATATTTATGCACCAAGATCTAACCTTACAGTCTTCACATGCATCCCATAGTCTTGTCTAGATTTAACTTTCTCTGAGTTTTAGGTACTGTTGAGTATGTGATTCCCAAAAGCCCTCATAAGAGGTAAAACAAATGCATATACTCTATACTCTCACCCTGTTCCTTAGTTGTCCCAGGCAACTTCCACTTTGGGAGTTAAGACTGTGGGAAAGTATCTATATCTAAGATGAGTACAACCCTACTATGTTTAGGACAAATGCCTAAAGACAGAAGAAATGAGAATTAAAGCATACAGAATAAAACTACTGCTCAAGAATCTAAGCCTGATTTATCACTTACAATATTCATCCAAAATCTTTTGTGAAAGCACATACATGGAATTAAGAATAACCAAAAGCATAAAAGTAACATATAATGGGAAATAGAATCCAGGAAATTAAGTATTTTATAGGAGACTGAAGCAGAATAAACATCACTAAATACAACAGATTGCATCTCATAAGCGATAACTACTTTGTACAGGGCAATGACTACAGGAACATTCCAAATATATTATCTAAAAATAGCAGCAAAATCTTTTCTTCACCCAACACACGGAGGGAAGGAACAGGCAATTTCATTCTTAAATGTGCTATTAAAACATGTATGAGTTTCCAAAATGGCTTAAGTAAGACCGCAGCATAATCAGAGAACAAAGTAGAAAAGTGGGTTTTGAGTCTATTGAGAGCTATTCAATGACAAGAAAATTTTTAAAAAATAGTTCACAGAAGATAAAGATTAACTGTTTCTACAAAGTGCTTTTGTCGTGTGTTTTGAAGCCACCTACATATGTAAAAAAATACTACAAGCAGAATTGGCTCAAAGTGAGAGGAGGTTATGGGTCTGCCACGAATTCCAGGACAGCCTGGGCTACATAGTGACTTCAAAGCCAACCTGAAATACATAGTGAGACACCTTGTCTCAAACACACACGCACACACACGTGAATGAACGAGATAGAGATGAAGTATTAATGGAGATGTTTGAGGGTTACCAGATCTAGCTTTTTAACAAATCATCCTATTTTAGAACATCGTTTACAATTTTGGTAGGAAACATTTGGAGGAAAATAATCTCCACTTTTCCAAGTCTGTAGACAGACAAAAAGAGGAAGTAACCTCCTAATGTAGGTGAATCCTCTCTGCCTCTGCCAACTGGCAGCCAATTCTGTCAGGTAAACAATCACTTAGTGAGAAATGTAGTTGAACGGAATCAGCAAAAGTTCAAAGAAAAAAGCAATGTAAATCCATGCCTCTCTTCTGATATTCTTCTTCTAATAATATAAGCCAAAACAAATGAGAAATATATTTGTGGGAGAAGGGTACAGTTAGACAAGACAATGAAAAAGGAATATTTAATTTAAACATTATACCTTAAATGCTATTTCTCCTGCCATACTAAGGCAAAACTGGAAGTAAAAAAAATATATCATTTTAGAGCATTTTGAAAGCTGACTCTGGCAATTTGCTGTTCCGTAGAATGAGATTTATAGGTAGTTACACTGACAAAATAATAT